CTAGAGTCACTGGATGGTATTAGTTTGATAAGAGTTCGGACACAGCTGAACTTTTGTCCTTTTCTATTTTCTATAATACAATGGTTTAAGTGAATAAAAGAATAAGACATATATTCTGCTCTTTATCTTTTCAATTTCCCTAGAAGCACCTGATTGTCAAATACGATTTTAGAGGTTATATTTTCTGTCAAATCAATCATAGCCGTAGATGGACAATGGATATAGGGTACAAACACCCACTTCAATTTATAGTGATACACTTCTAGCAGAACAACTGTTATATAAATGAGAAGAAAGCATGTACCAACGTTTTAATATCAGAAAATATACACATATGGATAAACTTATAGCTATAAATCCTTATTGTATGTCAAACCAGTGATAAGTATAAAACATGCATGAAGATATCAATATTTAATTAAAGGTAGGTATTCTCAATATACAGGAAGTAACATAAATACGTTCAAGTGAAGTATTCCTGAGACAATTTTAAGAAATAAAGTGTATTTAAGCTTGTGTCCGGAAATGTTTCATTTCGGAGATACAGGGCGTTGAAACACAGAGAACAAATCATTTTTTGATAAACATTTCCTTGGAAAAAAGTAGTTAATTTTGACGAGACCTACCAAATACATTTTTCGGTAAAGTTCTCAGCAACTCAACTTAGCGCCTTAGGAGCTAAGCATCTCAGTAACATATGGATCGATATACCAAATATATTTTTCTGAAAAGTTCTCAGCTACTTCACTTAGCGCCCTAGGAGCTAAGCATCTAAGTAACATGGGCTCAAGTTTCGTTTAGCTGAAATCAGTTATGAAAAAACTGTTGCTATGGCAACGATCGTCATAGTAACGAGTAAACAAAAACCCGATTCCCGTGGTGAGGAAATGCGTGGTTGCCAAGTTGTATATCGGGTTTAGTATAGCTGAAATCAGTTATGGAAAAACTGTTGCCATGGCAACGATCGTCATGGTAAGGAGTGAACAAAAACCTGATTCCCGTGGTGAGGAAATGCGTGGTTGCCAAGTTGTATAGGGTTTAGTTTGGCTGAAATCTGTTTTGGAAAAACTATTGCCATGATGGCAACGATAGTCATGGTAACGAGTGAACAAAAATCCGATTTCCGTGGTGAGGAAATGCGTGGTTGCCAAGTTGTATCGGAGAATTATCGCTTCATTCATCAATTTCAAAAACACTCTTCAATGTAACCATCCTTCGCGTGCCGAGCTATTCGACAAAATCAAAAAGAAACAGAGCCAATTTGGAATATTCATTACGAGGTATCGCGCAGGATATAGGAAGAGAGACTACAAGTACTGATTGTCTAATACAGATGGGAACATCTCGTTAGACCCACCCACATTTCCATTTGCCTTCATTTCGATTCACCCATACCTTTCTTCACGCGCACATTTTGATTCAGCAACAGTCTTCGAACATACACGAACGATGCCTTGCTACCAAGTCTGAACGATGTTGGAAAATATATGTTTTTCAAGAAGAAGGTTGATTCAAGTCGAGTTAGGTTAGATTGTTTGGAAAAAGTAGTGTCCTTTTCTATGCAGTCTTCAAACACACACGAACGATGCCTTGCTCCCAAATCTGATGATGATGAAAAATATATTCTTTTTAAGAAGGTTAATTTAAGCCGAGTTAGGTTAGATTGTTTAGAAAAAGTAGTTTCCTTCCTTATGCGCTATTTATTGTTCCGCACTATTTTGTCGCTCGCTATTTCGTCTAGCTCTGTTCAATAACTAAGCATATTTTTTCCTCACGTTATTTCCATATATGATCGTCAGAGAAGTAGTAATTTCGGGAATTTATCTACGACGAACAGTCTTCAAGAAATTGATAAGAAGGGTATTCATTCGAATCAAGTTATTGTTTGAATACTAGCAAGAACGTGGAACAAAATTTGAGGCTGATTTCAGCTATACTAAACCCGATACAACTTGGCAACCACGCATTTCCTCACCACTGGAATCGGATTTTTGTTTACTCGTTACCATGACGATCGTTGCCATAGCAACAGTTTTTTCATAACTGATTTCAGCCAAACTGAACTCGATACAACTTGGCAACCACGCATTTCCTCACCACGGGAATCTGGTTTTTGTTTACTCCTTACCATAACGATCGTTGCCATGGCAACAGTTTTTCCATAACTGATTTCAGCTATACTAAACCCGATACAACTTGGCAACCATGCATTTCCTCACCACGGGATTTTGTTTTCTGTTTACCTGTAACCATGACAACGGTTGCCATAGCAACAAATTTTTCATAACTGATTTCAGCTAAACGAAACTTGAACCGTAACATGGATCGATATAGAAAATATCTCCAAAACGATAACCTCCAGCGTTCCTTTGATACATAAATAATAATTCACTTTTCACTGTTGAATTTTGAATTTGATCGGCACCAAAAACGCCATTCAATGATATATCACGTTGTAGTTTCCTTAGTTTTCTTATAGCGTTTTCCACTCGTCGCACTAGCTCGAACTTTTTCGGCACTGAGTTCGTTTTGCGTGGTCCACTGAGGATTTCATGAGCGAACTTTTGTCGAGAAACGATTTCCACTGGCTTTCAAACTTGCTCGATGCCCGCTCAGAGTTCGAGTTTTCAGAACTGTGCTTGTACGACGGTGCGATACACATAACCTCAAATATTTGAGTTACGAGTGGGAAAATGTTTGGAATTTGAATAATTATGAATGTCACATTGAAGTTTATCACTATTATTACAATGATTTCCAGAACCATATATACAAGTGATGATGAAGAAATGATGATTGAGATACAGAAGTACTTAGTTACGAAACAGCGTTTACGGAAGATTCAAAATTACCTAAAAGTTGAAGAAAGCTATTCAGATGTGAAGGTATTGAACATATTTGATTGTTGATTCAGTAATGATGAAAAATATCAACTTCGTGAAGGACACTTCAATGCTACATCCCTATTTTCGAATGATTCAATTGAACATCATTGACAATGAACATTCATATATTAGACTGTTTCTGCCTTCTGGCTGGTTTCTGGCAGTGTTCACAGGGAAACCACATTAAAAGGTAGATGAATCCTTCCTGTGCTCCAACGGAACCAAATGTACTTTCAATAATTCAACTTTTTGATTGACAAAACAATTAATCTGACATTTCTGATGACAAAGAGGTCGCACTAACTTTCTATTTCTACTGTACTATTTCTATTCCACTGCTCTGTGCTGAAACCGCACTTCATGAAAAAAACCGAGCCAGTGCCACTTGTACTTGCTCTGTGCTAGTGCGCTCTGTAAATCGGCGAGTGGAAAACGCTATTAGTTTTGCTTTCAAATTTCCAATTTCATTATGTAATTTTACGGTCATGTCCTCTTTCCATGATTATTTTGTTCTGTATTTCGTGTGATGATAATAATAATGGAATAACAGATTTTGAAATCTTCTGTTCCAAACTGGACCTAAAATATAGTTTCATTCTGTGATCAGATGCTGTTATAAGAAGCTAATTTTAATGAGTACCTCACAAATTTCGCTCGTCTTGAAATTGATTTTCCACCCAGGCCGTTTCATTTCTTCCTTCCATAAGCGAATGGTTGATATTTGTTTTGGAAAATTTGATAAATGATATCCATTTTCATCAGATTTGGCACAATTTATTACACAGCAAGTGATTTTCATAGCTGTTTTTTTCTCGAAAGTATAATAATTATTACTTTTCATTTCAAATCTGACGTTCATAAAATTTACTGTCAAACAAATTTGAATAAAAAGCGCGGGACGACTATGGTGCTATTGTCACAATGCAAGGTGTGTAACTTAATGAATCTAAACATTCAAAAACCCTAACAGTTGTCATTTCTGTGTCCGAACTCTTATCAAACTAATAGCATCCAGTGACTCTAGTCTGTACTAATCTATTCGAATAGCCTGTAGCCATGTGAGCAAATCTGTAAGTGTCAAGTCCTATTTTATAAGTATGGTTACTCACGATGGTAGTCACTGTTCAGGATGGAAAACAGTGAATTCTCATTTTCCGTGTATTTGTAGAATTAAGGTGATTAAAACTATGAGAATCATGTAAGGTCAGTCTTTTGAATTTTGAATTTGCGAACTAGTTGAACGAATACATATCTAGTTGAATTTGACAAGACGATGGGATGTCAGATTATTACGCCACCCTACACAATAATGTATGTCATTAAATGTCGAAAATCGAGTAAGCAATGCATGAATGACTCCATAGTTGTAGATAAAAATATAAGTGAAGTCACCTCTATTATTTTGACTCACTTTTGAGCATGTCTGTGTCAAAGCAGCTATCATATCACCTGTCATCCGAGATACTTTCATTTCCTAGGAGTTGAATTTCAACTTATCCCTTAACTCCTAGATAGAAGTGTTGCTTAGCAACATACATACAGGTACTAATCATTTTATTGTGTCTGTAAGAGGAACTTCAACTTCAAGAGCTAATTTTAGCAACGAAAATGGACGACTTTTGAGTCAATTGCAGAAAAAAATATTTATATATTTTTAGTGAAACTTTTTGCTAATCTTTTTCTCGAAAACGGAGCAGAACATTTTTTCATAAAATGTGACGATACAATAATCAAATTTTTCGCATTTACGCAACTTATCACTTTTGAAAATCAAACATATATATATATCTTCCTTCTTCCTTCTATTTCATTCTTTTCTGTTCAGGTATTTCTTGATATTGTTTAGTTTTTAGTCATTTGGAATGTTATCCAATTGTATTCGAGTTTTTTACAAATATTTGGATTACTACCTATACCTGCAAGGATTTTTGGCTGAAAATTCATTACTAAATCTATATTGTAATATGTGATGGTCTGTTGAGAATAATCACCAGGCCCAAGTATGTATAGGTAGGTATTGAAAGTTTATTAGAAAATAAAATAATCAGTAGAAACCATATAAATTATTTCTGCGTGTATAGGTAACTAAGTTTTATTGTCATTACAAATTATATTCTAGTCCAAGTCTCCACATCCAGTAAGAGCAACAAGTTCACTAGGACATTGCACCTGCTGGAAAGACACATCAGGATTCGGAACCCCCTCCATAAACCTGAACCGGAACTTGCATCCCTCCTGCAAATCCTCGGGCAGCTGGTTGCACTCTTCTTCCGTGTGCACACCCCCGTACCTGTCACCCCAGCCGGTCTCCGGTGCTCCCCATTGCGAAGAGCATCCCAACGTGAAGATGCCCACCCCGCCACCAGGCATGGCCAAGTCGAACTGGTTCTTGCCCAAATCGCTGCCCGTGTTGGTAACCTGAACCAGCAACTGCTTGCCGGCTAGCTGCCCCTTGAAAGACAGAAGAACGCACATGCAGCACTGCGCAGTATCCACGCCGCCTGTGAAGGACGCGGCCGAGAACCCGTAGGCCAGCGTGGAGTTGATCACCCGGGCGACTTGATTGCTGCAGCTGTAAGCGACTCCGTCTACCTCGCAGCCGGATTGGCTGTTGTTTTCTTTGGTGCTGGGCGTGCGTCCGTCCTTCTGACACGTTTGAACGGGTTGGCCGTTCTTGGTGTGGATGATTTTGTCCCATGCGCAGGAGGTTGCGCAGCAGTCCCAGTAGCGGGTGGTCACTCCGTCGCCCTGAACACCACCTTCGATTGGGATGATTGTTGGTGATGGCTCACCATGGCCTGTAATTTTGTTTTTATTTCAACAAACTATATGAAACATAACATAGTGTTGGCGATTTGAGACCTTCATGGCATGACTAACTCTGAAGATTTCAATGCAGGGTGATCGAATCATGAAAGCAAACATTTCAAAATTTACCATTTAATAACTAATATATGCACCGTAGGTATGTGTCCTTGTGGTCTGGACCGTCCCACCCATAGCTTTCGGGAAAAATCTGATCAAAATACCGAAAAAAATGAGGAGGATACCCTCTGAATCAGTTACCTATATAACCTGCTGAGTATAGGTACACATATAAGAATATAGTATATGCTTTTAAATAATATACAGGGTGGCGTTGAAATAAGTGCGAATGATTGAAACACTGAGAAAGCTCGACGTGTACTATCGAATGGGACTAATATAAAAGATTTGGGGATCAAAATAAAATTTGAGGTTAGACCCCTTACTCCACCCAGAGTTCTACACTGTAGCAAATCTGACATCACCTCTGTTCAAATTTCCATGCGGTAGGCACAATCACGCAGAGTTCAATCATTTAAATTGTTTTAAAGTGGCGTACTTGATTTTTTTCTCGTATTTTGTTCAATTTTTGGAATGAAATTTCTCGTTAATCAGAAGAATTAAAAAAAATCTGATATCATAGGAATATTCCTTAGACTGTCTCATATTAATGTGCTGAATATGTGCACTTATTTCAAAAACACCTTGTATATATGAGTATAATTTTTGAAATGAGTACATATGTTCGAAATTTTACTCACAGTATGCCAAGAGAGCAGAAACTAAAATTATTAATTTCATAATATTTGTAATAGAGAGAGGCGATCAACTAACGAGGTTTTGTTTGGAAATACATTTATATATAGAGTTTTTCTGATTGCATTCATTGATACTCAAGTATAGATACTCATCGATTCATTATCTTAAGGGCATGGGTAGTTTGAAAACTGTTGATCGTTGATCCACATCAGATTAAGAACTAAGATAATGTACATACATATACCTACAAAAACACGTATACTCTTATTGTGTTATTATACACCCATAGACAGTTTTATTGCGAATGAGGAAATCACTGATGACTGACGCTGTCACTGAAAAACAGGGAATAGTTTAGACACAAAAAATCCTAAAGTGTTGGAAAATCTCGATTTTGATCACCCTTATTCAGAAAAAGTGACTCGCTAAAACACGTTTACTTATTCATGTTTCTCGAATTTCAGTTTAACAAATACTTATGATAAATTCTTATTATTCTGTGTTAAAACACCAATTGAAGTTGAGCATATAAACTGCTTTACATGTTTGTTCTATAAAAAATAACTCACCATCAATTAGCAGAGATTTAGTAATTTGTCGCCGAGTGGCGATCATGCTAGTTGTGCGAATAGAAAGTACCCTGTACAACTAGCATGATGAGAGTCAGGTTGCCAGATATGGATGTTTTTTTGTCTCGTATCTGTCAGGGTTTTTTCTGTTAAAAACCGCAAGTTGGGGAATCCTTTTTCTAATCTAGTGTATTTGTCAATTCTATATCATTCACTATGGAGTCTTATCCACCGGAAAAAAGTCTTCACGGTTTCCCATACGGAAGTCTCAGGATGAGGAAAATCAACTTCGAGATGGCGCCCAACGTGGGGCAATAAGCTATTCCAGATGGAATGTAGCGAACCCTTCCAACTGTTTTCCAGGTACGAATTCCGAATATGATCAGTTTCGTAGTTCTGAAAAAACTACTTGGCGCCTAACACAACAAAACGATCAAACTGATAGCACCCTGAAAGAAGTAGCTCTTATCACAGCGCACAACTGGGAGGAAATCAAATCTTGACAAACCATGAATACTCTCAAATCATTAAGCTATAGCGGTCTGGATTCCGGAGAGCATCCAAGTTCAGTAAATGGGCGAATTTATAGAGAGCGAGCAAAATATTGGATTGGTCCTTACGAAGTACGAAACTTATCATTCTCTGATTTTTCCGGCATAGATTCCTCACTAGATTCGAGAATGCATCCATCCAAAGTAATCTTTTTGTTCGCTAATATAGTGAAAAGCAATGGAATGAATCAGTAGCATGTAAGCGGTTTCGACCCTATTTGAACAACCGCGCACTCACATATGGTTTAGACAAATATAAAGATGATAAAATGAAGCTAACACGATGGTCGCTTCTTTTGCAAGAGTTTTGTTTCTCTGTCATGCACTGTCCAAGCAGGGAAAATCAATTACCTGATTTTCTATCCCGTTTTCCTCAATCATCGGTTGTTGAAGAAGAAATAGACTAACTTCACCTAGCCCACCTGAAATACCATTGAATAATATCAATGCCCATATATCCCTGGCCCTACTTAACACTAAAGATGCTCTATATGATGCTGTTGTTGAAGCTCAGAGTCAAGATCAAAATAATCAGGATACTAAGCAGCAGCGGCTCAATTTCCAACGCCAACCCAATTCAAGAATCAGTAAACGTCACCGGACAATTTGTGAATCATTCTCAGTCGAAAACCATGTACTTTTGTTTGGTTTGTGCATCTACACAGAGGCAACTGTGAGACAGTCACATGCACCATTAAAACCAAAGCCACCAACTCAACGATGGCAAACTACCAGTCTTGATGTCATGGGGCCATATTCAGTAACCCAAAACGGAAACAAATATCTGTTTGTGGCCACTGGGCCTAAGTGTCGTCTAAGTCAGACGAGCCTAATACAATCGTGGTGGAGTGTTTAGTGGGTATACCCTGGAGTCAGGGGACTTCCACACTATCAAATATTAGGGGATTAGACCTATATTATGATGGCCATGAAGGATTTCAAGCACATCGACGAAAAAAATAACCTAACAAAGCGAAAGGTCAACGCTTCCCTATGATTTCCGATGTCGTTCTTCTAAGTTGGAACGGACATAGGTGCAAAACTATATATATGGTTCACAAATATCGAAACTATAAAAGGATTTTTATTTTACAATAAGGTAGAGGTGGTCAAATCGTTGCCATATATCATATATTATTATCAAATTTTATTCTAATCCAAGTCTCCACATCCAGTGAGAGCAACAAGTTCACTAGGACATCGCACCTGCTGGAAAGCCACATCAGGATTCGGAACCCCCTCCAAATACGTGAACCGGAACTTGCATCCCTCCTGCAAATCCTCAGGCAGCTGGTTGCACTCCTCCTCCGTTTGCACACCAGTGATCCTGTCACCCCAGCCGCTTGGAGGAGTCCCCCATTGCGAGGAGCATCCCAGAGTGAAGATGCCCACACCTCCACCAGGCATGGCCAGATCGAAGTGGTTCTTGCCCAGATCGCTGCCTGTGTTGGTGACTTGAACCAGCATCTGCTTTCCGGCTAGCTGCCCCTTGAAAGACAGTAGAACGCACATGCAGCACTGCGCATAATCTAAACCGCCTGAGAAGGACGCAGCCGAGAACCCGTAGGCCAGCGTGGAGTTGATCACCCAGGCGACTTGATTGCTGCAGCTGTAAGCGACCCCGCCTGCTGAGCAGCCGGATTGCGCGTTGTTTTCTTTGGTGCTGTGCGTACGACCGTCCTTCGTACATGTTTGAACTGGTTGGCCGTTCTTGGTGTGGACGATTTGGTCCCATGCGCAGGAGGTTGCACAGCAGTCCCAGTAGCGGGTGGTCACTCCGTCGCCCTGAACGCCACCTTCGATTGGGATGATTGTTGGTGATGGCTCAGCATGACCTGCAATGTCAAAGATGATGAGGTGAAAATAATCCCTCTTGCTTCTAGTTTACGAGTTGGAAAAATTAAAATTATCAAAGGAACTATACTTTTATATAGTAACGTCGTGTTTCAAATAATTTTGTGGAAATCTCATCGTGAAGTTTTTACAATTAAGGAAATGACGAATAATGATGTAATCTACCTAAACACGTATTGATAAAATTGCATGTAAAAGAATATGTTGATTACTCACATGATGCCAATAAAAGAGCAGAAACAAATACTATGAATTCCATATTGACACCTGATATGGGTATTTATATAGTTATGATCCGCTATGATCTGCTCTCGTTTGAAAATTAATATAAGTATAAATATATGTATAGTTGCTTGAGCTGACTAAAATTGGTGTTGTTCTCATTGATTTTTTATCTTTTATCCTACTCAAAAGTCCATGAGATCTCTTGAATATTATCTGTTCAAAATCTATCGACTTCTTGGAATATCAATTCACACATATCTACCATCGTTAATCTATATATCTACAAAAATACTTACAAGTACCTATACCTATATACTGATGGGTTGAAGCACCTCATACGAAGTTATCTTGATTCTTATGAAAAAGCTGTATTTTATTATTTCTAGCTAACTGTATATACATAATTTGAAATCACTTATTTGAGTATAGGTTTTTCATACATAATATATGCGCAGAGCTTCAGAACGTGATACCTAGCTCATCCAAAAATATGAAAGAAGTTTCTATTAACTTACCCTCTGAAATGCACCATTTTCGAGATATAGCTAGAGAGTGTTGAAATTTGAAAAAAATATCGTTTGGTAAATTTTTTGTTACTAATTAAACAAAATGTCTTCAATCGTTAGCGAACAACCCAGCAAACATCAAATCTCTGGCCGCCTTATGGCCCATCAGTACATGATTGATCGGCAGATTGCTGGCCATTGCCAAGCTGTACTGGTGAAACATCGTTTGCATATAATTCAGCCGACACTGGGCCAATAGGGTTAATTCTTACTATGTAATACCCACATCATACAATCGTCAAACCATTATATGGCATATTGAAATAGTTCAATTATAATCTAGCCGGCAACATGCCAAATATATTTTTGATTAAATTTCAGTTTCAATTGAAAAATCTGATTTTTAAGACGGCGTATAAGTGGTTATTGAGGCGTTCGTCTAGTAATCAGAACATCGAAAGGTTGTTAGGTTCCGGATGCCTGGAAGAGCAGAGAATTTTCATTTATTGAACGAATTATGTTTTATAATGTTCATATAGCCTCGTTTGGAGATGACAAGTCATCGCCTGACTCATTAAATAGGTATGACAGAAATTCGGTACCAAGTCAATCAAAGAATCGGATGTTTTTCCTTGTTCATCGTTTGAATTTTGAATATATCTGTTAAATGATGATAATTATTATTAATGAAATATTTCTATTCGAAAATTAACTGCAAATAAATACACACATATATCATTTCAAGAAAGGTGATGTATAGTAGCTCAGTTGGAATAAGTTCGATTTTTAATTTAACCAAGTGAAAACAGAGGATCGGGGTTCTGCGAAAGCGCTGGAGGACCTAGACCAGATCATCTCTTGCTTATCAAGCAAGATCATCTTGCTTATCAGGCTAGATCATCTTGCATATTAAGTAAGATATCTTTCTTATTATTCCAGATCATATCGTGCTTCTTAGGCCAGATCATCTTGCTTATTAAGCAAGATCATCTTGCCTATTAGGCCAGATCAACCTTTCCTAATAAGCAAGATGATCTATATAAGCAAGATAAAAAAAAACATATTGGCCCTCCAGCGCATCCCGAATCCCGTGGCGGTCGTCTTTTTTTCATTCTGCCCATTCAGCAAACATGTACTGGCCCTGATGACTCCCAGAGTCGTTACGATTTGTTATTGTTTTTTTTTTTAATTTTGCAATTTTGAAATTAACCATTGGTTTTATTGTCACTTCCCAGCAAACAATTTTGCATGGTCGGCCTTTTGATGGCCCACAATATGCAGGCAAAAATTGGCCAGAACGGCAAAGTTCCTGTGAACATTGATCGATGGGCCAATAGGAGATAATCAGGTAAATTAATTGCTGGAAATAACCGCCGTTAAATAGCTTCAATGTACGCAAAATTTATCATGTTTTTCAACATAAAAGTTGATTTTTACCGAAAACGGTCATCTTTAGAGCTTTTGAACAAATCTTTTTTGTGTAGAAAACATCATTGGCGGTTCAAATGGACGGCCCAATACTGTACTTTTACCAGTGGCCCACTACCCCTGGAAATGAAGATGGTGCATTTCAGAGGGTATGGTTAATAGATACTTGTTTTCATATTTTTGGACAAGTCATCACATCGAAATCCTCTGCACATATATTCATGAAACGCCCTGTATATACAGCATGTTCGAATAACAATTTTCAAAAGTAACCACGCGTCGTATATATCAATTTCCCACCCTGTATATCTACTATATACTTTCGAGTATGTTCTGGCAATGCCTATACCTATTTTTAATATTTTTTTACCAAAGCTGTTAACATTTCAATCCTATATTTATTTGAATTTAAACTTATATCTCGTTAATTCCATTTGGATGGTACGTGTCTATCTCAGATCTGAGATAGCTATACATTATTTTGCTTTCATCGTATCAAGGCCAAAATACTTGTAGAAGTGTTTTTATGTCAAAAGTAGAATCAATATTGAATTGAGATAAAAAGTTGAAGTATAGGTACGTGCCTACCTATTTATACCTAATCCTATAGTTCTAAGCACAGCAAAAATGTAAGTATACCTACACTCAATCCACAATCACCATGAAATAGTATATTGTGCAACAAGTGGGAAAAGTTCAACTTTTCTCACGAGTGACAAAAGTATACTTTTCCCCACATGTTGCGCACTATACTTTCTCTACAACTGCACGAATATTCAAAGAATCCGAGTAATAAAGCTTATTCATTTTATAATAAGGCACTATGCCACATATTGAATATTGTGACCAAAGAGTAGACGCCTTTCCTAGTTCCTCAAAGTATTTCAAAAAAGTACACTTTCCGAAAAAGATTTTGTTTCTGTATTTTTTTTAGATTCCACAAATTTCTTGTATATGCCAATTTATACTTTCTTCTTGAAATTTCCATAAATAACAAATCCAACTTTTGCAGCTTTTCAAAAGCACTAATGAGAACTACCCTAAAGAATTTAAAAACTCCGTCTGACCAACCAATCGACTCTTTATCTTGAATTTCTCACAGAAAGTCATTATTGGGGAAATACGATTGCACAACAACCCGAAAAAAATAAACAATCAATTCTCCACCTTGAATTTTTCGCAGAAAATAGGCTAATGAAATGTGAGGAAAAGCAGATAGCTATAGTAAATTAAAATCAACTCACATACGTTAGGAATCTATATTCATTGTACAGGAAAAATTAAAAGACGCTTTTTTAAATGTTGAATTTCATGTTGTTCAATTTTGTACATTTGAAGGTTTTCGCTAGAAGCCGCGGTTTTCTAAATATTCATGTTGAAAAAATGATCTTTGAACGCTCCCCTACTGCCCCGCTCATCCCACTATAAGGGTCAGGACTTTTAGTATGTTATTGTTCATGGCACTTCCCACTACCACTGTACAAAAATTTGCGACTACACGATTTTTTTCTATTTTTTGTTCGTTTACTGAACTAATAAGCACGATTGAAGAAACCTGAAAAAGTCAAAACCGATAGATTCTTCACATTGACTGTTAAAACTGAAGTACCTACGTACCTAAGTACCTAAGTATTCTTCATAATCCGTAATTGTAAATTAGGTACTCCAAAGGAGGAATTTGGAATTTACTGAAATGAACTGATCGAAAAAATATGGAATATTCAAAAACGTAAAAGATATATTTTTTCTAGAAATAGCAAATACACAATATGCTCAATGATTGTTAGAAGAAACCATATGTCCTTATCCTTGAATAATTCATTGAAGTAAAATAATTCCATTTCAATCCCTTGTTGGAAATAAACACATGAATGTAGTAAGATCACACATTGGTTTGGTTCTCATCTATTCTTTATCTAAACTCCCACTCAAGAGTCCTTCAAATTAATGATTATATACCACCTATACAAAAAGCAATCGACTTCGAATCTACGAAAATACTTATAAAAGTAGGTATCTATATAGGTAGATAGGTACCTCTACTACTTTCAAGTACTGGCAATACATACTTCTTTTCATTAATTTGGTTTCAAAGCTGTTGATTATATCTTATCTTATATTTCTATAAGTTCAGCCTTATCTCGTTAATTTATTTCATAGGTATATTATTTTGCTCTCAAGGCCAAAACACTAGCTGTGAGTGAATAATCCTAAGAAAAATTGTTCCATCCGTTAGTGCATATTGAACAATTTCGTTTCATAAAAAGAAGATCATAAATAATATATTTCAATATTGTTGTATAGGTACATTTTATATTATTCTGTATAATCATTCTTATACAGTGTGACCCACTTCTAATGGAACCACCCCTGTATCTTACCAAGTGAGGTCATCTTCAGTGATATACACTGCTCGCCAATAACAGCCATGAAACCACCCCAATTTCCGGAAAATAGGTTGAACAACATGCCCCTGAATTTTGTACATGTCCTCAAGAAACACCCTGTATATGTCTAAATAATTTAGTTGGTTTCGCAAGAAAATATTGACCGAGAAATTTGTTAATTTAATATGGAAAACAATTAGGAGCCAGGGGCCTCCACTCTTTTGTTGCCCCAGGGCCTCCAGACCTCTAAATCCGGCTCTGTCCCCGAAAGTGATGTCGGGATTGGACACGCCCTCCATCCACTGGAACCTGAACAGACACCCCTCCCAAATCAGGTTCAGCGGCACCTTAGCGCTGTTGACGCCCCCGTACTATAGCTGCTCATATAAACACTTCTATAGTCGACAGTTATTTTGCCTCATTTGAAACAAAACAACAGTAAAAGCATTTAGTCCAATAAATAAAGGGAAAAAGTTAACATTAATTACGCACTATTTTCATCTTCCGGTTGGAAGTAGCTTTTGGTACCTCATTAAACTTGAGACAAAGTTTGACTGGAAAACGCGTGCGATGGCGGAGAAAATGACCCCAAAAGACCAGTCAATATCTCCTAAAATATGGCAGTTAGAGATTTTCGGTTCAGGTAAAATAAATTGAAGTTCAGTTAATTTTCTACAAAAATGATCCTTTTCTCGAAAATTTGCCCGGTTTCGAGAAAAACGGCACGAAGCGCACCTCGAATAATGAGCTTCTGTGTTGTATGCCGGAGAGCACAGTCCGTGTATTTACACATCGGCGGGGGGACAAATTATTCAATAACTTTGTTAAAAATGCATATTTTCTCATGATTCAAAGTTCATGTGAAAGAGGAATTCTGCTGCTATCATACCCTGCGTGGCCGCATGGTTTGTAGCAGACGACCCGAGCGCCACGTAGAGCACACACGCGGCGAACGACGGAGGAACGAAAGTAATAAATTATAGCGTGTACATTTAGATATACTGGTTTTTCCCGGGATATCAAAGGTATGACTTATATACACCGATGGAAAGGTGGGATTTCCCCCGTTACACTAGTTAAGGTGTTGAAATGTTAGAAATTAAGAGCACGAAGAAAAAAACCACCGAAAAAAAAGTGCGTTTTTTCCTTGACCCCGCTTTTTTTAATTTTATTGAAAAATGGACGACTTCGTCTAAAAAAGTAATTGCACAATCGAAAAGAAGACCTTCTTAGCTTTCAAATGATGTATCATAGGAACCAATCGGATCATGTATAAATTTTTAATTGATGGTTGTTCACAAAATTTCCCCGCGCTCCAAAAACAGCAAAAAATTGGGATTCAATAAACAAAGATTAAATGAAAATTTGAAAAAATTAGGGTATACAAATTTCAGGGATGACAAAGGACCTTATGAGGACCCATAATCAAGAGAATTTTGAGTAAATTAGTGCAATATAAAAAAAATAGGAATAAATTCCTGGCGAGGTCAAAATTGACCGGGAGCAGAGAGTTTGACCCATGTTCCGATATGGCCAAAAGAGTCAAGCGTGACTCAATTCACAGGGTATGATAGCAGCAGAATTCCTCTTTCACATGAACTTTGAATCATGAGAAAATATGCATTTTCAACAAAGTTATTGAATAATTTGTCCCCCCGCCGATGTGTAAATACACGGACTGTGGTCTCCGGCATACTACACAGAAGCTCATTATTCGAGGTGCGCTTCGTGCCGTTTTTCTCGAAACCGGGCAAATTTTCGAGAAAAATGATAAGGATCATTTTTGTAGAAAATTAACTGAACTTCAATTTTTATCCGAACCGAAAATCTCTAACTGCCATATTTTAGGAGATATTGGCTGAAAACCTATTTTCCTGGTCTTTTGGGGCCATTTTCTCCGCCATCGCACGCGTTTTCCAGTCAAACTTTGTCTCATGTTTAATGAGTTACCAAAAGCTACTTCCAACCGGAAGATGAAAATAGTGCGTAATTAACGTTAACTTTGCCTTTTTTCCTCCTTCATTTATTGGACTAATTATAGGTATTAATATTACGCCATGTGTTCTAGTCGAGTTTTTTCCTCATTTTAGATCAAAACAGCAATAAAAGCATTGTATTATATTACGCCATGTCTATTCAATGAAGTAGCTGTTCATCGTGCGTACGTAAAACAGTCAATTGAATATGAAAACATCCGATTTCTGTAATCTGACTTGTGTATATATTTGTTTTGTATTTCTTCTTATGAATTTTTCCACGGAATATACAAATAAAAGTCAGGAGCTTTCATATTATATCATTATATTGAATTCTCGCCTCAACCAACTGGACTACAACCACTAATATCAAGAAGCTCCTTGGGACACTGCACCTCCACGAAAGTGATATCGGGATTGGACACACCCTCCATCCACTGGAACCTGAACAGACAGCCTTCCCACAGGTTCTGTGGCAGCTTGTAGCACTCTTCGGCGCTGTTGACGCCTCCGTACTGGTCGCCCCAGTTGCTGACGTCAGAGTTCCACTGCGACGTGCAGCCCTGCGTGTAGTAACCGACGCCGCTGCCGGGCATCGCGATGTCGAACAGGTTCGTGCCGGTTTCAGGGGCGTTGCCGGTGTTGGTCACCTGTCAAGAAAAAATCGTCAAACACAGTTAGGTGTTAAGTTTGGTGCGCTACATCGTCTTCAGAGCGAATTTCTAGATTCATTGAAGGTTGTATTTTCCTCACCGGCTGTCCGGCCTGGCTTCGCATGGTTGGTGTACCCGTTTAATGAAAAATAAGACATTTCCCAGCAATCATTGAACTGCCGAGGGAAGTCCGGCCTAGTGCAGGCAAGTCTGAGAAAGTGACGATGCCGGGACATTGGTAATGCGCCGATGATTTCCCTATGCTAAGTAACCATCAGTTGAACATACGATGATGACCTTGTGATGGTAAGATGTCTGTAAATAATTGAACTCTAACGAGTTGTGGCCCTTTGCTGGCCTACATCCTGTTAACTACTCGTTCCTCTGGTGTTTTTTTAGGAACGTCTACATCTACAATCAGCTGATCTTTTGGATCATTATTTATATGTGACTCTCGTTTCATTTTTCTCTGGTTTGTTGTCGAATTATTGTGCTCCTCACTTTCCCTGGTGGTTATTCATGATGGCAGAGGTATTATCAATCAATCGATTAATTGATAATAGAAGATAGATTCTTCAATTATGGGTTTGGTATCTCATAACCTCATAATATATGCTTACCTAATGATCATAATAACTGGAGTGGCTCTACCTCTCCATCAGAGGCGTAGAACTGCCATGTTCAACTCTTTCATTACTATCAAAAGCTATCTCAGTTTATGTAAACCCGTCTCTATATAGAACTCAATAACAATAAATTCCAACTACAGAAATAAGCCTGATGTGCTCAAGTAATAAACTCATTCAACAGTATTTCGTTTTTCATACTCCTATGGAGAAATAATTCTGATATCAAGAAAGGCTGATAATGAATTTTATTTTTCAGGAGTACCTCGCAACGAAGAATCCTTTTTGAAGGAATGCTAGTCAATATAAGATGTAGATGTAGATACCATGTACCAATCAGTCAGCAATCACTCTGAGAAGTTTTATCATGAAAGAAGAGAGATGTTAAGAAGACATGTATCATTGTATCATTCGTAAAATTGTTTCCTTGAAATCTGGTATGTGTAAGTTTGATATAATATATGATGAGAGGGTCATTATATTGAAAAATATAGAGCTACTAGAACTTCCAGATTCATTGGACCCCTAAAACCCCCACCTCGATAGGCGTAACCAATGTCGATAATTGGTCATCACAGTCCCATCATTCATGTATATGCTGGGCTTGCTATGGGAAACTCAATGTGTCGAGTAAGTTGTACTGGCATTTTGCCGGGGAAATGAAATATGATTGCTGGGTACCCAGCACTGGGACCAGCTGCCGGCCGCAGTGTGCTGATATACAGAGTCCCGCATATGGGACCATTTACTGGGCCGCTGATGTCAGGTATGGGGAAAATATATTAGGCTATCAATGTCCCATATCAAAATGTTTACTGGGTTGTATATGTATGTTGTTGTTTTACGTATTGAAAATTTCAACCCAATCGGACAAGCTGTTCAGTAGCTGACGTACAGTCCCATCTGTCAGCAGAGTGGTTTACTATAGTATGGCTCTGTAATGTCTAGACGTACGGGTTTTCACGTGTTGAATATGAATGAAAGCGTCATACATATGTGGTCTTAGCGTCTCGAAAGGAAGTAGCATCAAGGCACACCATTCTGATTAGTTCTAAATCGCTGGAGATGACAGTTTCATATAGGTCATGGAAAGAAAATTTCAAAAATTCCTAAACCATTTTGAAAAATCAGATGGTGGAATTCGTATTTCACCTCAAAAACTGTTTGTGAAATTTTATTTCCAAACGGTAGGCCTTTTAAATTTTTGAAAAATTGCTCAGCTTTGATTATTATCCAGTAGAATCTCATTCTGGAGAGATGCATCCATCATTATTATATGTTCGATAGTCAATGAAACAAACATTCAGAAACTTAAAAGATATGCATCTGAAGATTATAATGAATCAAAATCGATCGAAACATTTCGAGTGTTCAGCATCAGTTTAGGTTGAGAAAAATCACATCAATTTTTAGGTACATTTCATTTATATGTAGTATTTTTTGCATGTTACAATAAATCCTGAGACTTAACTGGAACTCAAAGTGGAATTCAATCATATCATGTTTCAGAGTCAACGGCCACCTCTACTATCTTCTGATTTCGACCGTAGTATAGTTGAATTTAGTCTTTGATTGATATATATTACGCTTATGAGCGTAATATATCAATCAACGATTTAGTCTCTTACCTGTACGAGCATCTTCTTGTCCTTCAGCTGCTCCTGCTGGAAGGAGAACAGTACGCATGAGCAGCACATGTTCCTCTTCACTCCGACGAACCGCGCAGCCACGAATCCGTACGCCAAGGTCGAGTTCACCACGAAGCCCGCCTGATTGGTGCACACGTAGGAATGCCCATCAGCCTATAAAAAAATTTGAATTGAATCATATCACCTTTGATTACCATTATAATGTTTAGTATGTATTAATAGGCCGGCCAGGATAATATGTTAAAATAATGTATCAATTTTCGAATTAGATAATAAGGAGCTATATGATATATTTTTTTCATAATTAACAGATTCTACAAGTATCAACTAGCCTAATTGACAGATACTAAGTGTTAACTAGCCTAATTGACAGATATGCTTAGTGTTAACTAGTATAATTGACAGATACTATAAGTGGCATCTAGCCTATATTTGATAGATACTAAGTGTTAACTATAGTCTATTCGACTAGTGTCAAATAGCATAATTGACAGACTAATTTTCAGTTGTCCCGTTAACATTTCTAGTAAATTTGCATGGGTGCACTCATTTTTCGATTCTGAACATCACAAGAATAATGCTATCAATTCTCTCCTTCCTTTAAACGTAACCTCTGTCAATTATTCTAGTTAACGTTTAGAATCGTGATGTATTTTGTTTGTTTTCAATTTGGTGGATCGTTCTATCAATGAAGTTCGTATCCTTTCTGAAGATGGACAACATATGGCAGAGCGGAATAATATCAAAATCAAAATCATAGGAAAGGAAGATAACAACCAAAAAAGAAAAATCAAGGAATCCGCTTGCATCCTTCTGAACGGAGACAATAGCATTGCTTCCTGTTCATTTTTTATAGATAGAACATGGTATTCACTACTGAAAACTGAACACGAAAATAGTAGATTCAAGATCAATTAATGAAAACATCCTGTAACTCATTTGTAGACTAAAATCACTCATTCATATGCCAACATCAGTATGACACTGAGAAGTGTCAAACTATAAGCAGAGCACAACTTCCAAAGGAAAATATTTTGCATTTTCATGTTGAGAACGGGAGCAGATTCGTTCCCGAAACGTCCAAAGATAAGTAAAAATTCGATATTTTTTCAATATATCTATATTTCTTTCCTTCAAACATTTTTTCAAACAAGTGTCACTGACAAGCTACTGGTTTTTTTCTTTTTGGCTCCCTGATAGCAAAATTTGTTAAACGCAGTGACATTTTGGGGCAAATCATCTGATTTGTCCCACTACAAATATATTGAAATAATAAGAATAGTTTTTTAATACAAACGAGGAGAGAAAATCCCAAAAAATCGAGGAAAATGAACATAATTAGGCTAGTTAGGTAGAGCCGATAAGCACTTCAAAGTGAGTCTCCATCTTTCGGATGTAATATTTTTATGGAATAAAGACATTTATTATTATTACTTGTTTCTATTCGCCCTCAAGTTTATATTCACCCCGTTTTACGCGGTACTCATTCTACAAACCTCGCAGCCCGACTGAATCTCCGGATCGTTGGCGGTGACACCGTCCGCCTGGCAGGACTTGATCGGGGTCTTGTAGCCGACGTTGCCGGGCCAGGCGCAGGTGGGCTTGCAGCAGTCCCAGTAGCGCGTGGTGGGGCCGTTGCCGGTCAGGCCACCCGGTATAGGGATGATTTGGGGGCTGGGTTCGCCCGCGCAAATGGCCGCTAGGGAATTCAGAATGATAATGATAATATACTTTATCAGTGCCGGACTGGCCCATCTCAGGTAGGTGAGAAAAATTGGGATTCCCAATGTGGCCGGCTCGGTCTGTTGGATGGTTCGCATCCGGAAATTTTAACAAAGGCTGTGTCAAGTCTGTGGCTTGACCGGTCACATACGTTCAGTGTAAAGTCTGACCATCAGGTTGACCAACCAGCTGTTTGGGAATATCGGTCACGTTTCAAACCTGTCCGCGAAGTTACCACGTTATTTTTTATTCAACCATTCACCATCCTGGTATCACCACTGTGGTCGAACGGATGACTTGACACAGCCAAAGTGTGTACATTTTGAATACCGACGCGGTTTCGTGAACTACTGAACAACTACTAACTTCGCAATTCTTTAATCAAATCAGATAATTGAATTGACCAAGATTCAAATACTTCTGAAGGTTTCCTTGGCAACGCAGGTCTAATTGTCACTTTAAGTACAACAGATTACCAGTTACAAGTTCAAATTTCACATCGATAATTTTCCGATTCAAAAATATTGTAATATTTTTTCGATATTGTATTCGATGTATATACTCAAATTTAGAAATTTATTTTCCTTTTTCACTTATTAGAAACAAAATGGGAACGACCCTGAACTGCATTCTTCATTATTCATCATTGTATAAATATTGAAGATATTCAAAATTTAGATAATATTATACAATGGGCTTATATCACAAAAAATTTGTATTTCATAATTCGATAGAACTCCCCCAAACTAGCTCACCACCGCAAACCGTTTCTTGCTGTGAGCTCCCTACGTTTTATAAAAAATTATTGAAATCCCCGATTTTTTGGACCTCTGAAAATGAGGCGACGATGTGACGTCAAAACCCTAATACTGAAACAAGACTATTCCAGACAGAGATGAATGATACATGATTTCTGACAAAGTGAATTAGCGCGAGATCACAGTTGAAAGAATTATCAGTTGACTCAGTCTTCGTCGGGCGTTTGGTATTTTCTTTTAACTATGGCGAGATGAGGTTTCTACGTCATAAGAGGGTCCGTTTTCAGAAGGTACTATTATTTATGTCCAAAAATAAAACATTCCAGTTAATTTTTCGATCGAATTATGTCGTCAATCATTATTTATGTATAAAAGGATCATTATAAACATGGTTTGAGTTAAAAGTTCTACTAAGGTGTACACGCCCATTACCCACATGCTAGCATAATTTACGTTTTCCAGCTCTCTTTCATTATATACATTATACCATACAAATTTATCATAATAAAGAAATATATTTTTACTTACCAGCCAATAAAACCAGTGAACTAATAGCTAGAAAGTTCATCTTTACTTCTAATCTAGAAAATGATCTCGATTTCCAATAAATAGAAGGTTTTATCAGAAGCACTCGAAATTATTTTTGAAAATGTTATGATCACTTGAGATGGAACATCGATAAAACCTGTTAAACCTGAAGTGTTTTTCACAATCACCAAATGTAAATAACTTCAAGAGACATTCGGATTACACTGAAACATATGATTGATAGAAAAAAACATGTGTTTATCCTAAAATAATTTATTGCAGTTCAATGATTACATTTCAATTTCTTGTCTCAATTTTCAATGCCCAAATGGGTATCTATCCACAATAGTGAATTGATAATAGTATCCATCTCATTAGGCACTGTTCCCAAGGGATGATTGTCTTCATACAAATTCATCCTGAAACAAATAAATTTCACAATAATAGACATCAAATATACACTTGGTAGTTTTCATCAACTGCCAAACACTTGATGAATAATATCAAAATCCTTTGTATAGAAAAAACGGTAGGAATGTATTTTTTTCGATACTATAGAAATACCGGAGAATCAGTCATTCGGGCTTCAAAGAGGTAGGGGAATCCCAAAAACCTAGAGAAATGGATATTTCATCTCTTCAATTAAGTATTCATTTTCTTTTATGTTTATGATGAGTATTTTGTAATAGGTACTTCATAGAACATGCTGAGAAACGAAAAATTGATTGTTCTATTAAAGAAAAAGCAACTTTATTTCTTCAAGACTTCTTGACTATTCCTGTATAGTCAATTTTTATTCAGTGTTGTAGATTTTGAAAAACCCTAAAACTTATGTATCATAATATTTTTTGCTAGCTATCTTACTCTAAGAGATAATCGACCGTTTCCATACAAATCAGCGACCCTGTATAAGGTTCTTGTTCAGAGAAAATCCGTAAGAGGCGCTGATATCGTCATATTTTTAATGGCCATCGGACCAAATAACAACAATCCCGACGAAAAATTACTGAAATTGTGTTTTAGAACGTTTATTTTTGATAGTGTTTGATGAAATTCTGATAATTGAGTTCCTATTTTTATTTCAAAGAGAATTCATACAGCGACATCTATTAAAATAAGATAAAGATGGAAATGAGTAGATGGTGTACTGTGTACTTACTGATGCGCTTTTGTTTCAGAAATTCCTCTCGACCTCCCAAGAACAATGTTTTCGGTGGTATTCAGATGAATGTGAATGTTTGTTTATTCATGAATACGTACATTACATTTACATTTTTTTTTCATGCATAAATACAAAATATATCTCCTAAACATAATACTAAGTGAAATTTTAAATATAACAAAGTCTAGATATATCGTTATATCGATGAAGGTACACTAAATAAACAAGAATGGGTACCCGACTAAGTTCATCGAAGAACTTGTCTTCGGGTATTCATAGTTTATTGAGAAAAAAATATCGTGAATGTATCTGGCTAAACTAAATTAAATTTGAAAACACAAGTAAAAAAAATAAATAAATAGAAGGAGCGAATATTATAATATTTTTTTTTTCTTTTTTTGCTGCGAAATTCTGATTAGGTCTAAAATATGTTTTGACTAATCAATCATTAATATAATTTTCAGTTATTGGACTTCTACCTACGACTAAGATATATGTAAGGGTGAAAGACCTGTATCATAGATCCTGTATGAAAAACAAAAAGTATTTTTTGGTAATAAATATATGCATATAGATACAACTATGACAAATAGTATACAGTACAAAAATAATAACAAAATTATATGTTAACTAAAAATGGATCGATTACATTGGCGAAATACTTTCGGTCATTTACGAATATCCATTCCTTTAATTTGTTTTTGAAAAGACGAGCTGAATTTATTTTTTTCAAAGTGTTCGGTAAATTGTTCCAAAATTTCGATCCGATAAAGCAGAAGCTTCTCTGACCAAGTGCTAGATAGATGGTGACATTGCACAATTATGACATCTGATGCAGATTTTTCGAATTTAAGGGCGCCTTACATTATGCTATTTCTCGGCAAGTTTGAGGCAAGGCAATTTTCTCGCAATTTTCTCAATTTATTGCAAGTCGCCGTACATTGAGAGATTTCTAACATATTTTCTTGTTCATATTCACTATTTCCAGGTTTTTTGAGCCTTCAATGTACTTTTTGAGGTTATTTGGTGTTTCAGGCCACGTTATGGAGAAAATTTGTATTTTATCAAGATGCTACGATGAATATTACTAAAAATTTTACTAAACTTGCCTTGAAATTGCAGAAAAAAAAAGGACTGGTTCTATTACGAAACTTGCATGAAACTTGCCGTGAAATATCATAGACGCATGCGCATTGTTCGATTCAAAATTGCATTGCATCGAACTTGCTGGTAAATAGCATAATGTACGGCGCCCTTTAGAGTGAAATAAACCCACTTTTACATATGTTACGAGTACCTAAAATGCCATTTGACTTTTTTTTCACTCGACACAGCAGCAATAGCATCATCACCATCTAGCAGAAAAAAGTAGAAATCATAGTAGGCGGTCGAGTGATTTTTCTTAAATTTTCAATACATAAAAATGGCCGAGTATGAGCACCATCTTCTTATTTCCATCATAAATAAGATGTAACAAGAACCTTTTATTGTGATTTTCAACTGTTTATTGTCGTCAAGTTAAGGCAAAACAAAAGCACCTCATTGCAAACACCATATTAATTATAAAATATGATTATAAGCATCCATCATTCTGGCTTCCAACATAATTGACGTTTTGATTGTCAAAAATGTTATCGCTGAAAAGCGAGGATGGTTGGTCAGTGACCAATGGTCATGTGTGGGTCAATTCGGCTTCTGTAGTGGTAGAGCAAGTCCGATAATTTTAAGTAAACGAAAAATATCAGAGTAATACAGAATGAACCGTGAAAATTGTCGATTCTGATTGGTCCTCAAGAACAAGAGTGGAATAGTAACAAAAAAATTCACAATCTCTAGGTTCATTCGGGTTCCGATTTCAGAACTGTCCAAGGAATCGTTCTCGAACTGCGTAGAACTGGTGCGCAGTCGTTTCGAATCCTAGGAATGTTTCAGAACGGTTCACAAATTATGAAAACCCGCGGCTAAAGAGAACCTCTGAGAACATAACCTCTATTAAGAATTTGCCAATAAAACAATAGTTTGGCACCTGTATCTTCATTCGAATAATATTCTGAAGCTTCAAACTCTCCTTTGAGTCCGCAATATCTCTGGAAACCCTTTGTGGAGGAATGGTGAATATATTTTCGATATGTCCCTTGTACCCACATGAATTTCGACACCCACCTGAAATGTTCAATTAATTGTGTATATGAATATAATGGCAAAGTCTCCCCAACATAATCCTTCATTTATCGGTTTATCTAACATAATCTAACAAAATTTCGAGAATTATCAGATTAGGTAAAATATTTTCAGCAACTTCAGCAAGTAACTCCTTCACCACTGTTTCCTGAAGATGAAGATCTACTACTATCAAATGAATGTCATAACTCCGTAATATTGAGAAATTATTGAAAAGAGCAATAAACAGTAGAATAAACAAAAATATATCATTATGACATTAGGATACAACAGACAAAATGGAAAACTAAATGAAATGAGCATGCGCCAAAAATAATCCTAGAACGGTTCATGCTCGAGAGCAGGTACTGGTTTCCTAGAACAGTTCCACAAAACCCGAACGCGACCGATTCTACTGCTCAAACTCTTGGCAGTTCTAGAACAGTAATTGTTCGAACCCGAATGAACTAGGGTCCCTTGATGGAAATTGACGTTAAAGTCCTCTTACCAGGGTACGGACAGATCCTCGTCTCCTCTCACTCTGAAGTGTTTGTGAAACAGTTATATAGTTCCATCCTTATTCAATTCTAGGGATAAACACTAGATTTTTGACATTTGTTGTTTTTTAGGTTATATTGAGGTCACTGGCGTATCATACGTAAGTTCCATATGGAATTCCTGATTCAACTATACCAAATAGATGAACAATCCTCTAGTTTTAGAGTTTTAGAGTTTACTACTCCAGCATAATCTTTGCGAGGTAGGGAACATATATATATTTCATCAAAAGAGACTATTCTTAGACTGTATACCAGGGTTGACTGAATTGACTGAATGAATTCTGATTTCAAGCTGAGCAGTAGTTTATCTATGAGCTGAATGAGCTGAGCCTTATGATTGAGAAATGGTGAAAACCTGGATGTGGGTATCTCAACTACTGTACTCATGTCATGCGTGCTAAATATATTTTCGGAAATCCAAGTAGGAGAAGAATTTATGGAGTATGGAAGTGACTAATATCACACTATGTACAAAACTTTCGTCTAGGACGAAAAGTAGGCTAATAAAAATAATACGTAAAATATGCAGGAAAATGAAGAATAGAATTTACTTAACCCCCATGTTATACATATGATTTTTCCGTCTCCCTTAAATAAAAAGTCATTTTCAAATAATTCATTGATGAAAGTAACAAAGAAGTAGGTATACAGTATAACTTATAGGCACGTTATTTTCACTCTTGCACCCTACATATTTACAATTTGTGATAGAGTAATAATTACATAAACTAATGTGAAAAGTGCAGTTTTGAGCAGTTGGTATTTGAATAACACTAGAAATGAGATCTGGAACCCATGCAGTTTTCGTGATATTTTCATAAAAAACATTATTATACAGAATTCGTACTTGGCTGATTACAATAAAAAATTTCATTAACTTCAGTGATCCACAATTGGGTTCGCAATTTTTTGCTATTTTGTGAGAGATTGCTGCACATACCCTTCAGCGATATTTGTAGACTTCCAAGCAAGAATGTCTCCTCCAGAATTCGTAAGTAAACTTGAATTTTCTAATTTTGACGAAACAATCACTATCTCCAACCCCGAGAAACCCCAGATACATTCCAATTTTGAATAGAACTGGATCATAATTATTACAATACTCGTTCGCCATAGGATCTTCCTCAACAAGTATACCCTGTACATCAGTCACCCACTGGTGACTGATCTCTGCCCAGTGCCCTGTACATACCTATTATTAAATTTTTTAATGATTTTCTGTAGCGCCCATGGATGTGACGTGAAAACAATGTCAGGGATGCCAGTAGACAAAACTAAAGTCTCTAGATCATTAAAAAAGAATGCAGCTATGATCTGTCCGTACCCTGTTAAGATGACTTTTACGTCAAAATCCATCCAGGGACACTAGAATGAACCTTCTTGGTGGTGACCAGTGATGACCCACAAATTGCTTACCTCGTCGTGACTCCATTTGCTTTGAGACGTAAATAATAGTCGGTTCCTTGAGAGGCAGGCACCCGCAAGTCCTTGGAACCGATCAGAAGCAGAGTGGGTGCTTTGACTTTGTGGGCATGCACGATGGGAGACACTTTTCTCATCTCGGTCAGAATCTCATTGTCGATTTCGCCTTCCTGACTATATTCTTTACCGGCCTCTACATAACACCTGTAATTCATGTAAAACATATTTATTAATGGAAGAATACTAACAGTGATAAGTTTGTGTATTCTAGAGTCCGTTTTATTTGTAAAGAAGAACTTTGACTTATTTGAAGACTGTCTGGCAGATCACCAGTACTCCCCCAGAAATAAAAATAATCTAGAAACAGACCTTATGAAATATGTATACAGGGTGATTCACATCAGAACCGACATAGAGCAGGGGCATGTAGGGGGTCCCAAAATATGGCAATTTAACGCAACTTACTTCTATACCAAGTTGCTTCCCTAAGGAGATATAGGCTTTGAAAGTGAAGTAATAAATGTTGAAAGAAATCAATATCTCCGTTATTCTTAAAATTAAAGCAATCAAATTTGGTACACTTTGTGGATGTATTTAGGGCGTTACTTGACAGTAACTAGAGTTTAATTGAAATTTGTAAAGGGGGTATACCAGGTGGCGCACCATTAATATTCAACATAATTTTGTTAACACTAATTGGATTTCATAAATCTTTGCTTTGTTTTGTGGGCAATTCAATTCTAAAACTTTTCTTACTCCAGTAATTTTTCGAAAAACCTCATCATTTTCATCAAAAACTCGAATAACTGAAAACGCGCGCTCTAGGTGTGTTATTTAAAATCATCGAAAATTCAAAAGTTGGCTATGAAAATAAACGTCAAACTTGACAATGAGGCAAGTGAGTTGTTCAATTAAGTAATTGTTGTTTGAGTGTTTTTAAAATGAACGGGAAGTTTTCTTTTCATTATTCCAAATTTTTTGGGATTTTCTCTCCTCGTTTCTATGGAAAAGAGGAGAGAAAATCCCAAAAAATTTGGAATAATGAATATACCACCTCCTCGATTAACCTACAGACAGTATTTAAGTTTTCTTTTAACGAGCAAGTTGACATGCTGTTAGTGTTATACCTATAACTCCTTAGGGAAGCAACTTGGTATAGAGGTAAGTTGCGTTAAATTGCCATATTTTGGGACCCCCTACATGCCCCTGTCCTATGTCGGTTGTTATGTGAATCACCCTGTATATGTATACAAAAAAAAAATGTTCATCACCCAATAAAACAGATCTGGAACAAATTACCAGAAAATTTCAGAAATATGGGGTACCAACAGCTTAAAAGAAAAACTCAAAATCTTTCTACTCAATAAAACATACTACGAATTGGTTGCCTTCAAATGAGGATTTAACTGTAACTTTTATAGTACAAACATAGATCTAAGTCTACAGACAGAGAAAGATATATGGATATTCTCTTCCCAGGACTTGTGTAGGAAGGAAGATGCGAGGATCCTTAATCTAAGCAAAAAAACATATTCTTGTCCTTGTCTGGCAAAACTGCGTGCAAGAACTGTCAGATGACCGACCCTAGAGGCATAACATTGAAACACAACCTCACTTTTCTTATTTGTTTACAAGTGATCGAAATAGTTTTTCACAATTATTTTGGCATAGGAATCGTATTTTTCGGCTATTCATTGATTCGCTCATGCCATCACATTGTGCTGTTGTACAATGCACAAAAACTGCAGCGGAAGACGAAGGAATCCGGTTGGTACATTATGATTTAAAAGTAAGTACCTACTATAGTCACTCACATATAGTTTTCATTTTCGAAATCTTGTAATTCCTCTGACTTCTTATCGGAATTCCTTCTGCAATAGGAGCTAATAGTTAATACTCGTGAAATTTCTGAAATAATGCAAGAAGATTGGATTCATGCAATCAAACGGGAGGACTGGTCTGACATGCTGACGAAATAAGATCATGTGTGTTGTAGACATTTTCTATCTAGTAGCAGTATTAGCTTGTATTGCAGAAGTGGCAGAAGGAATTTCAATAAGGAATGACAACATTTCATAATGAAAACTATGTGAGATTACTATTTACCTAAAAAATCATATTCCTTCGTCTCTTCTACTACTTCAATCCTTTGATTCCTCTGTGAACAAATAAAAAAAGTGAGGTTGTGTTTCAATATTTCACAGAAGAGTGAGGTTGTGTTTCAATATTTTGCCTCCAGGGTCGGTCATCGTGCACGCGACCTATACAAAAAACGTCAAAACAGCAATGTCAAGTACATTTAGGAACTCCAGTCTTCACCATTTCTTCTTTTCAGTTCATGTGTTACCAACATGAAATACTCACGAAGCAACCCTGAAAACAAGGACAGAAAGAGAAGACATATATTCTTTCCACCCACCAGTCCGGTATATCCGAGATGATGCTCATAGACGCCACGTCGATCACTGGGTTCCTCGCCACCACCGCCCGGTACTTGTCCGGATGCTGCCCACTCAGGTGGGCGACCAGGAAGCCGCCGTGCGAGCCGCCCTTCAGAGCGACGCGTGCGCCGTCGAGCCAGGGGAAGCGCTCGAGGGCGGCGTCGGTGGCCAGGACGCAGTCGGCGACGTCCGAAGCGCCGATGCGGCCGGGCAGGAAGTCGACGCTGGCCTGGCCACTGCCCAGGGAGCCCCGGAAGTTGACGAGGAGCAGGGCATGGCCTGGACGAGAGGAAAGTTTTTTTTAAAGTATTTTTTCTACTCACATAACTAAAATGGCATTTATCGTACGGATATGTACACGCTAAATGATTGATTAATCACGTATTGTCGATCTGTGATTTATTCAAAATATTAAACACGTTACCATGGCAACACGATTTCTTAAACACATTACCATGGCAACGCAGTTCATTAAACACAGCTTCAGTAATTCGAGACATGTCTGGCCTGTCAATTGTATTAACTGTCAACTGTTATTTTCATATTTTGTATCAGAATTATTCAAACAATATTCGTTTGTATCGGAATTCTTCATTAAAAATATATGCGAAAAGTAGACGATAGTGAAATCGAAGAGAATGTTCAGGTACTTACATACCTCCAAGAAGTGTAAAAATGAAGCAGCCATCTTTGAGAACAATTTATTTATTCTGCGCTAAGCATGACAATAAACGTGAAACAAAGGTTAGTAAGCAATGGACAGGACAGATCTACAACCAATATCACTTATACGTGTCTCGCTGGTTGCATGCAGTTAGTTGTATGTATTATGTTTTCAATTCCCATTCCTTTCGAATTATTTTGTAGGTTAGCAGGAATAGCAGGTATGTTAATTAATGTAATTTTTGGAGTTCGTAGAAAAATCATAGTATGTAAAGCGTTCAGGAATTAGGTCGACGGAAAATTTTTGTAACCAACTCGTATATTAAAAGGCGATTAATGATCAAAATATCTCAATCATTAATCGCCCTCATTAAAACACTAGTTGGTTAAATAACTATAATATGACAAAATGATAGTTTGTAAATTACAAATGATGCAAAAAATAACTATGCTAGTAAAACGAACGTCCCCAATCAGCTAATGCTGGTCTTAGGATCAGTGGATCAAACTCTAGCGAACTAGTAAGTACTATTTACAGGTAGAGTAACAAAATCTAGTATGCATAATCTATCTATGATTCATTTAAAGAACTAGTAACTACTATTTAGAGATAAGTAATAAAATCTAGTATGTGTAATCCTAGTATGATTCATTTAATGTACAGTTTGTTATTAATATATATATAGTTATTTATAATATATACTTTATTCATATATCTCTTTGACGCTTTTCTAAAACTTGCTATAACTATGACCTAGTTTTATTTCATCAGGAAGCCTGTTATACTCTTGTGCGGCACGACTAATAGGATTATTTAGTGCAATGTTGGTTCTTACATTCGGCAGTGCTATATCATTCTGGTTTCTTGTATCATGTGTTAGATACCGTTATCGTGGCCACGTCAGCGGGGTGGTGACAAAGACTTGCATTGGTTATATTCCAAATTAGACATAAAAATCAATTGTCTCAAAATATTCCCTCATCTGTTGTGGCTTATTGTTTGAAATACATTTGTGTTAATATCAATATCATTATATTTCTACTCACACTAGAGGATATTTGAGGGTAAACGTGACAGCCCGGCGCACGAATTGTGGGCGGTCAGTTCTCAGCATTCAGCACATTGTTGCCATCATCAACATGATATTTTGTTATAGGGTACAAGAGATATACAGACATGCTGGTTGCTGGAAAAAGTCAAGAATGATCTATAATATCATGGCTTACTCTCATTATGTTTTATCTCGTGTTTTATCCAACGACAGGACTTGATTATAAATGGTGACTTGACAACGTTGCTTCATGAGTGGAAATGAAAGATTATTTTTGCAGTATTGCAGTATCATTGCAGAGAGAAGTGTTGTTTATCTGCCTGCCTCGTCTTCATTGAGATAGTTGATGAATTGATGAATTACAAAAATATATCGCGTTCCAGTTACGAATGTTGGAAATATTATTCAGGTATGTTTCAGATTCAACATCACTTTCAATTCTCATGGACTTTCTGATATGTGATGTTTAGTTGCAGATCCGAAAAGCAAAGTGTTTGATACTTGTCAATAAATTGGAGAAAACCATCCAGTCAAGACGGACCGAATAGAAAATCCGCAAAGAGATCTGACCACAGTATACTTTACAGAATTCAGATTATTATATTCGTACGGAAGGCAATATATTGATATTCTTTCCAGATTTTCAAGAAAACAGATAAGACAGATATTCACCTTCATGTCTCTATGGAAACACGACAGGTACCCTTACGAGGGGAGAGTATCAACTCGACGTTTATAAACCCTCTCTGCAAAGGAGGTAGACGCATGGTGGGTTAGGTATATACAGAGTGTTCTTCATTGCAGAGAAATTTGTTGTTTATCTGCCTCTCGTCTTCATTGAGATAATTGAGGAATTGATGAATTAAAAAAATATATCGCGTCCCAGTTATGAATGTTGAAAACAATATCCAGACTGTTCATAGATTCATATTCTATGTAGGTCTCACGATTCAAATTTGAAATTGATACCTAGTTTTAGATCAGAGCAGCACATTGTTTGGCATTCAAGGTCCTTAATAAGTAGTTAAACAATGCGGTTTGTAGGGAATTTTGGCAGTTGGCCCGCCTAATGGAAACCTATTACATTCATTATGACGTATAACGTTCAGTTCACTTAATAATAATTTTATTTAATTAAAAAAAGAAAATCATACCGTATAGGATTTGAACTTTGGATCTCTGGGTTGGCAAGCCGACACGTTACCAAGTGGCTATGGGGGGTCCATTTTATCAACGTGCAAGTGTAGGTACGACTCAACTTGTCCCCCTGTTTTCGAGAGATATTTTTTGGAGGTCCATGAGTATGGATATTCGACATATGGATGGGTATATGGATATTTGGGGGGTTCATTTTGCTTCATTGGGCCAATATGAGCAATTTAAATAAATATATCAGGCTTATGAATGAGTTTCAGTAAATATTTCTATGTTCTACATAGATTTGATTTTACGGTACTGCTAGTGCCCTCACTCGGATGTGAGTGGAAACTGTTTGCTATGCTTACCTTCTCCTATTACAGAGGTCTTTTTGAAGAATCCACTCGTATGTGTTACGCTTCAACCTAATTCCGCGAGGTGTCGCTACTGATACTGTTTTCCAAGGTTCAGTTCGAGAAGTACACAGTTAGTTGAAAACACAGTGAATTTATATACCAAAGAAGAAGAAGAAGCAAATAACGAATTTGGGGTGAGTGTTTCATTATCATTATTGACTTTGAAAATTTTGATGGAGCTAGATTGAGATAAGTGAATTATTTTTTTAGGTGAGAAATACATGAAATATTCTCTCTAATAGAAATCTTTAATATTGAATGAGAAAAATGAATACTGTTGACGAAAAAATGGTAATATAATCTTGTGCGTGGGTGTCTCTTCACTTTTGAATTATTTTATTTATATTTTAAGGTTCTAAAAGTGATGAAAACTAATCAAGCTGCTTATATACCAACAAGAGCTACTCTTGGATCTGCTGGTTGTGACTTAAGAACACCTACAGATTTCACTATACCTGCTAGAGAGCGATTACTCGTAGACATTTTTTTAAAAATACAACTTCCCCAAGAAGTGTACGGACGGATTGCACCCAGATCCGGATTAGCGTTAAAATTTGGCATAGATATTCTAGCTGGCGTTATAGATAATGATTATACAGGGTCAATTAAAATTCTGCTATATAATTCATCATCTGAAAAAGTTGATTTCAAAAGAGGGGATAAAATAGCTCAATTGATATGTGAACGATATTCTATTCCAATTATTGAGGAGGTTAATTTTTTGCATGCTACTGAAAGAGGGGAAAGAGGCTTTGGTTCGTCTGACATTCTGCTAAATGATTGTCAATGATGAAAATAATCTCAGTTTCGAATAGTACCTCACAGAGTAAAGATAAATATCTTTCATTGAAAAAATATGACTTCATTGAAATCAAATTTCATAATTTTGACAGCTATTGTAAATGGTATAATATATACAAATGTACCCAAAGAAGCTCAATATATTGCTATATGTTTCGATATGAAAAATACGAAACTGGATTGCAATAGATCATCGTGGAAAGTGTTGAGCTCATCCAAGGAAAATTATGGTGAATTACCCGTTTTCAGCATAAAAATTCCAGAAGCGAACGCCACTCATTTGAACTATAAATTGAAGATAATATTTTTTGATCATTCTGAAGCAGATCAATGCCAATGGCAAACTATTCATTTCAATGAAACAAAACAAAATGGAAGTACTATGCAAGAAGGAACACACAGAATGTATTTAGTATTATATATAACCTTAGTTTTGGTAATTTCAATATTTCTAATGCTTTTATTCAAAATGGTAGTGTCAAAGTATGATGCCTTTCAGTCGATACCTAATAATTAATCAATTTCATGGTTATTAATTGAGAAATCTTGATTTTTTTCAAATCTTTGAATAAAAAAAATATGTATTATTGAAGTGATTGTTTGATTCAACCTTGAGAGAAAAAAAAATAGCCCCCCACACCTTCTTCTGATTATTTAAATAAAACCGTGAGAGGAAAAAAATATAGTATCAGACGAAATGAATGTATTCAAAGACAAAGAAGATATATTTTTGGGTGAACGTAGATTTTATTTGAACCCTAATTATTCAAAGTATGTGTCGATCTGTATATCAGTACATTTAGGTTATGTCCCTTGTGTTGTGATAACAGATATTGATAAAGGTGCCACTTTAGTGTTTTCGGAGAAGGAATGGTCTGACTTAGTGAAAAACAGGGAAGCAATTGATAGTTTGCTGGTATCAACAACAGAAATTGTTGATACAATGGATCTTGGAAGATTTGCCATTGAATTCAAACAGGTCGAACCAAATTATAATAATAATATTAGAATTTACAGTAGTGATTCTAGTATGTTTTTAAATTATGAATCATTGTTAAAACTATGGCTTTTCACACCCATTATCCAGCATAGAATGGGGGTTCTAAAATCGCTAAGATTCGATAAAGTCATGAATATGCTTCAATTAGGAGTGAAGAAGGATCTAATTGACTGGTCATTGAAGGTGCTCGATACAATGAAAGAAATAAAT